CCACCAACTTCTCTCAAAGTGCTTCTAGAGTCTGAGGAGGACGTTGCAAATTGAGCAATCTCCTACCCATCATATCCCACACGTGCTCAATTGGGGATAAGTCGGGAGATCTTGGTGGCCATGGTAACAATGTGAGATCATTATGTTGAAAGAAGTCTATTGTGACTCTTGCAACATATGGTCGGGTATTATCTTGTTGGAAAGTTGGATCTGCCAGGGTGTCAAGATAGGGTAAAAGATGGGGTTCTAGAACTTCATGGATATAACGCTGCGCGTTCATGTTACCTCTGATGAAGATTAAAGGTGACCTGGAACCATAAGCTATAGCACCCCAAACCATAACTCCAACAGTGTGATGAACATGTCTTTCAACAAAAAACTGCGGATTCCTCCTTTCACCACGTCGCCTTCTAACCCTGGCACGACCATCGTGCATGCCTAAACAAAATCGAGACTCGTCACTAAAGACAATACTGTTCCATTCCTGATCCCAGAGTGACCGTTGTCTGCACCACTCAAGGCGATTACGTCGGTGTTCTCGAGTTAAAGGGAGGACCCAGTGTGGCCGGTATGAAAACAAGCCAAAACTTCTCATTCGTCGGTAAACACTTCGCATGCCAATAGGTCTTCCGTGTTCTGCAAACCATTCATTTGCAATGGACCTGGTAGTGAAGAAACGGTCCCTTAAGGCCAATAATCTTAGGCGGCGATCTTCACGGTCTGTTGTTCTACGGCGGCGTCCAGTGCCCCTTGCTCTTTGCGTACGGCCTTCTCGAAGCCATGCCTGACAACACCTAACCACAGTGTCTACACTTCTTTGCACTGTAACTGCAATTGCCCGAAAAGAAAGTCCAGCTTCCCGAAGTCACACTATACGGCCCCTATCAAACTCACTAAGTTGACGAAATCGTACAGGTCTCCGTACTCTAGGCATCGTAACCGATCGTAAAGGATGTCAAGAACCAAAATCCGCCAACGTTGATTCTTTACTGCGGCTGACATATTCATTTTTAGAGCGTTAGTGAATTAAAAAAAAGCAGTATAAAAACCGGAATGTCCAACTGATAAGGCTGAAAATTTGTTCACTTGTTATTTGCAGTAAGATAAATACATTCACCAACTTTTATTAAAATAAAACCATTTAAACTGGGTGTTCGGATTTATATGCCACTTAGTATAAATAAATGCTGCAGCTGAGAACAAATATCACTCAGCTGACGCTGATCTGTTTGTAATGGAGATGGGGTAATGGGGAGAGATCTCACCTCGATCAGATTAAACTTTGTATTGGTCAATGTATTCTAGCTGAAGGCTGAAAATGGCCAACCACTGTATTGCGACGTACCAAAAATAATCGAGGTGAAATGAGATATCCATGCGTCATCTATGAGAC